TGTGGGCGTGTTAGAACGAGCCGTTTTAGGTAGGTGTGGCTGACTCTTAACTTTTATAAAGAATATCTCTTTGGATTTGAGACTTTAGTCTTTGCAACTTTACAGATCTTCTTTATGCACCAAGAGCTTGTAACACTCCAAAGAGAAAGGAAAACTTGAAATCGCATCATATGACCCCTTTAAGAAGCAAACTTGCCCATGATATTAGGGGTTGTTTTCAGGCAAAATATCTTGAAGTAAGTTTCTCTCTTTTTTTGTTTTAGGTATTTAGCCAAATCTTGTGCGGTTTATGATGAAGATTGATTATATTTAGATATTTTCACTGGAGAACCACATTATGCAACACTTGAGTTAAAAACTAAAACTCAAATCTGCCGTTTTTGCTGAGCATGACTTAAAAAAACAACAACATAAAAATCTGGTGTAATTTTCTTAATCAGTATTTTTGTATCAGTATTACTGTAAAAATATCTCAGGATCCTTCAAGCAAGATAAATTTAGTCAAGAAGCAAACTTGCACAAGATATCAGGACTTGTTTTTAGAGCAAATATCTTGAATTAGGTTTCTTTTCTTTAAGCATTTAAGCAAGTCTTGCTAAATGTATGCTATTTATGATGATGCTTTATTTAGATATTTTCACTGGAGGAACACAATATTTATTAGTTTGTTTGAGTCTCCGTATTCATGCCTCAGATCTCAAAAGCTTTCCTCTGGACGTCCATAGATGATTTTCAGATAGTCTGATTTGTCTGTCTGTCTTTGTTTTCTGCCCAGGTCTGAGAAATGAGCTGGACTCCTTCTCTCTGATGCACTCGAGCTAAGGGCTGTCCTGGTGGATTTGCCCCTGACCCAGCGGAGCGTTTCCAGCCCCAGCCCCGCTCCACGGCCAACATGCTGATCAAAGAGTACCGCATCCCCATGCCCATGAGCGTGGAGGAGTACCGCATCGCTCAACTCTACATGATTCAGGTTTGCTCATGGTTTTATCTTACATTAAAGCAGTCGAAAATTCTGTCATTTATTACTCATCGTCACTTTGTCATACCACGTCTGTCAAGCTCCAAAAAGGATAAGAAATCTCCATAAAAGTAGTTTGCACACCTTGTGAGCTATATTCCAAGTCTTTTGAAATCATGCAGTGGTTTTAAATAAGTAATTTATGAAAAATATCAATTATCACAAATCCCAAATCAAATGTTGTGACTTTAGATGTGTCATATAAGGTAGACCCCTATGATATCAGGAATTACCAGAACAATGTAAATACACAACACAGAATTTCTGAAAAACAAAACATTTCATAGGGCCCTATTATTGTAAAAAAAAAAAAAAAATCAATTAATTAAATATGCTTTTTGATTATTAAAGTTTAATTAAACATTTAAAAATTTGGTAAAAATAAAACCGAATTTAAGAAAAAATAAATCAAATGTATTTAATAGGGCCCTACAAATCAAATTTTTGTTAAATTGTTTAAGTTTCATGATTTCAAATAATTAGACGTATTAACATTTAATTTAACCATTAAAGGGATATTTTACCCAAAAATGAACATTATGTCATCATTCTGTCATCAAACACTTGACGGTAGCCATTGACTTCCATCTTTTAAGATACTATGGAAGTCAATGGCTGCCGTTAACTGTTTGGTTACCAAAATCCTTCAAAAATATCTTCTTTTGTGCTCAACAGAAGAGAGAAACTCTGGAACAAGTGGAGGGTGAGTAAATGATGACAGAATTTTCATTTTTGGGTCCGTTTAAAATGAAGCCATAAAAAAATAAAACAGAAAAAATGTAATCCAAAAAAATTAAATAGGAAAAAATGGAATTTGGGAAAAATAAAACATATTTTGGGGGGGGGAATCGCATAGAACCCTACATATAAACTTTGACTTCAATAACGTTTGACCACGAAACACAAAAACCAATGATGACTAATCTGTGTCATATTTTATTTGCGATCTATGACTTAAATAGTGGTCTGTTCCTCACAGAAAACTAATGTATAACTTCAGAGGACTTATGCCGAAAGTCATTTGGGTTATTTTTATGGTGTTTTTTTTAGCCTGTTTGGTTCATATGGTCCGTGTGGAAAAGAGATGTGTGAATCTCCTTTTGTGTTCCCCAGAAAAAATAACAGCCTGTGGGTGTGGAATAACATGAGTATGAAATAATAATAGCAGAATTTTCATATTTGGGAGTTCTTTTAAGCGCGTCATGCACTTCTTCTGTTGTTTCTGTGCGAAGTGTAGCGTGTAGCATACAAAAACCTGTGACTCACAGCTGGCTTGTTTGGTGTTTCCTTTTTGAAACATGCTTTACTCCCTGATTCAAATGCAGTGAAAGTAACATGCATGTGGGAATCATTCAAATATGATGCACATGTGCAGTTTTGCAGAACAAAGACGGTGTTTCACATCTATTTTTGGTAGGGCACAACGCATGCTCTAAATATTTCACTAAATTTGGCCCGCGATCCCCTGAGACAGGTTGTGGGTGCTGGCGAGGCAGCACCTTACGCATTGTGCTGATGCCGAAACCAGCAGCGAGCTGATGGAGAAATGCTGATGCTGATCGGCAGAGAACCACTGCAATGTGCAAATGTAGATGACACTCCTGTGAAAGAGATTTTTAATATCAGAGACGCTATCCTGGTTAAAGAAATAAATAATCACAAAATGTTTGGCCAAATTGTGCAGCCTTACAAACAAGCACAGCAAACCTGGAGCTTTTTTATTGCAATTTGATCAGAAAAGGTGCAATTAGATTTTCCTCCCAAATTGTGCAGTCCTACTAACCTTAAAATAGGGTGGTTTACCCAATATTTGTGAATGCTATGTTTCTTATGCTTTATGGGTTAATGTCGCAATAATTTAGCAACATGTAAACGTCAAACTCTATTGAAATCAATTGAGTCCCTTGAGTTCATTTGTTTGCCACAAAGTTGCTGCTCGATGGAAAGCGTTCTACTGATCTGTATCTAGTGAAATGTCTGTCTGCGGAGGTTTGCATGAAATTTAATGAGTGCTCAGATCGTTGTTGGAGCTCACAGTGAGGTTACAGCCACAGATCTAACTGAGCTTCCTCCTACATGCTCGGCTTTCTCTGAATGGTCTTATAAGGTTAATTAGCGCTCTGTCAACGCAGCTGTCTCTCACTGCTGTTGTCAGTGGGGTATTAAGAGAGAGGACAACCAGGACGTTACTGTCCAATTGCAACAGGCATGCTAAATTTAAGCACTTGTGCTAAGTCAGTGGACATCAGAATCGAGCCTAAGCGATGTTGACTCGCATAAGACTTCAAGTCCTTTGGGAACGTTGTCTAATTAGCAGATTTCTGAAAGCGTGAGTCATCGAAAGTGCGAAGTAGCGTCCATATGACTGATGGCCAAATAGTTTCGGTTTGGCGCAGAGAATCGAAGCTCGAAGCCAATTAACACGTTGAATCTGCATCTAAATAGAGCATTTGTGTTCTTGTTAAAGTTAGTTTCACTTGTTTATTTGTTTTTTTATGTTCTTTCTGAGCTCTGCTGTTTTTAAGCACCATCTGTTGACATGCCATGGCAGAGCTGGCGTAATGAGCGTGCGGAGGGCAGGCACACGGTTTGGCAAGCTTGTACACCGTCAGTGTGACCCCGCTGGTGTAGTATTAAACCTGTGTGTTTGTGTGAGCGCCGCTCTATTAGCCTCATGTTACACAGCAGAACTCTGGTCAGGAACCGTGAACAGATGTTCATCGCTGGTGGAAATATAAACAAAACTAGTTCTGCTGTGGATGGCGGGAGGTGCTTTTTGCTGTGTGTGATGCACCAAAGAAGAGTTTTTCACTTCGTAAGCTACTGTGTGTCATCCGTTTGCATTCCAGTGCATTATGGATTTAGATTGATTAGTTCAAGCTTGGGTGGGGCGCTCAAATTAAGCCACATCATGGATATTGCAGCGATTTTAAGTGCACTTTGTGTCTGGTCATTAAGTTTCCGAAACCGCCTTTCATTTAAGATGTTTTTTTCTATTAATGTTTTAAAGGGGTCATATGATGCGATTTCATTTTTTCCTTTCTCTTTAGAGTGTTACAAGCTCTTGGTGCATAAAGAAGATCTGTAAAGTTGCAAAGACTAAAGTCTCAAATCCAAAGAGATATTCTTTATAAAAGTGTTTTGTAAAAATCGACGCGTTTCAAAAAGGCGGGGCATAGAGGAGAAACAATAATGTACAGTATGTGGAAAATAATGTGTTTTTTTAACTTTAAACCGCATAAACACATTTCATTACACCAAATACACAAAATAATGTTCTTTTTAGCAGCATCATATGACCCCTTTAATAGCGTTTCTGATTCTAAAACTTTGAACTTACGTTTAATTAATTTCTGTGAAGCAGTCTGTTTAAGTGAGTTAATTCAAGACTTTGATTAAACAAATTGATTGCATTATCACTCAGAAGTGTTCATGGATTTTTTATTTTTATTTTTTATATTGCAATGTTTTAATTAAAATATGTAGATTAATGTTGCTGTTTATATATTTATGTGTATATTAAAATGTGTTAGTTAAAAATATTTGTAGATTTTTGTTGATAGTTGTATATATTAAAATGTTAGTTAAAAATATATGTAGATTATTGTTGATATTTATAAATTATATTGAAATGATAGAGCCTATATGTAGACTAATATTGCTGTTTATATATTTATATATTGTATTAAAAATTGTTAGTTAAAAATTGATGTAGATAATTGTTCATATTTATATTGTATATTGAAAAGTTTTAAATAATATATATATGTAGAATAATGTTACTGTTTATATATAATATATTAAAATGTTTGTTAAAATAAATGTGGATTGATGCTGTTTATATATTTATGCATTATATTAATAAATGTTAGTAAAAAATATAAGTTGATTATTGTTAATATTTCTCTATTATTTTAAAATGTTTTATTAAAATATATACGTTAATGTTGCTGTTTATATATTTTTACATTATATTAAATGTTTTAGTTAAAATAAATGTAGATTGATGTTGCTGTTTATATATTTATGTATTATAATATTAAATGTTAGTAAAAAATATAAGTTGATTATTGTTAATATTTCTATATTATTTTGGAAATGTTTTATTAAAATATATGTAGATTAATGTTGTTGCTTATAAATTTATATAAAAATGTTTTAGTTAACATGCATGAAGATTAATGTTGCCATTTATATATTTATATAAAATTATTTAGTTAAAATATATGTAGGTTATATATTTGTATATATTTTATTATTATATCATTATTATATTTTATATATGTTTATATATCATTATATATTATTGTATTTAAATGAAAATGATTATACTATTCTTTCTTGTTTTCGTTCAGTGAAAAACTGTTGAAAAACTTTTTTTTAAAAGTTTTTTTAAATGTATTTTTTACTTATCTTTGTATTCATTTTTACCTAGATTTGTATAATATTTTACTTCTTGCATGAAACCGTTTAAATCTATTTGGCAACAATGATTGTTTGGTTGAAATGCTGATTCAGCTATATAAGAATTTCAAGGCAAGCACGTAATTATATTGAGATATATATTGAATATGGTCATTTTATGAAAATGGTCAGGAATGTGGCTTTCCGAAGCTTCCGTCACAGCAGTATCACACTTCCCGCGGCATTTCTCTGGCGCTCCTGTTTCTCTCCCCTCCGGTCAGACCCCCTCTTCTGCAGCGTCACAGCTGAGCTCCGGTTGCCATGGATACCCGTGACATCAGCCGGAGCGTGGCACTCGCTGCAGTCATTTGTTTGCGGCGCGAGAGCGGAGACGGAGGGAGAGGTCACGATGATGCAGGCCTGTTGCCAGGGCGACTTCACTCCCATGATTTCTGCTGTCCACAGATGGGCAGCGGAGGTGCATCGCGCCGAGGTTAAACCTCTCACATGATCTTGGCCGTCCATGTCCATATAGGGCAGCGTTTGCT